CAATCCGAGGGGAACATACATGTACATGATCCGAGATTACACTGGTGGAAGTTTCGAGGCGATTTGAGCATTTTAACGGAATTGATCGATCATTGAGTGATTGGATTTGAAATCCGGTTTCCTGCCTTGAATAAATATATTAACAGAGAACCTCGCAAAACTAAAACTCTCCAAAATCACCTCAAATCGGCCTGAGAAGCTGGCAAACTACAAAGAATACAACACAGCAACAGGGTAAGTCGTTTTTTATTCACAAAACATTCGATAAACTAAATATATTTATGCTTGTAAACCAATCAGGATCGCACTTGTTATAGAGATCTCAGGCACAATTGAAATAAACAGGGTTATAAAAACTGCAATAAATTGTAGCTGAAATTTCTATTCCACAGAAGTTATGAGATCCCGAGTAAATTATTTGAAGTTGGAAACACAAACTGCTTCATTCTACATGACTGGGGAATAATTTGCCACAGATACAATTTGTAAACAACACTGTGTAAACATTTATGATAAATAAAATTAAGACATAAAGTAAGGACATAAACATAGAAAAAAAATCTAAACTTAGAGGTACAAAGTGGCTGTTGTTGTTTTCTTTGAACAAAGAAACTGCTGTATGCATATGAAGTATGGGGTTATATGGAAAGTTCAAGTCACCCCCAGGAACTCGATTGGCTTCGTACTGGATGGGGTGGGTGGGTACTCAACTCAAGTTTGTAAGGGGTGTGCCGCCCAGGCTGTCAAACCCTGACCCTGTTTCTGACAAAAAATTCACACCTACTCTACCCTGTTTATGACATGAATTTAAAAACAAAACAAACTGTCGTCGACATTGATATCGTTTTTGTCGGATGCAAGCCAGGCCTGCAGAAAATGTCAGGGAAAATATTTCCTGCTAACTGAAGGGCACCAATGAACCTTGTCTATGACGCCATCGAGCCAAAAACCCATACCCTGTTTATGAATCTAGGTCGAAAACCCATACCCTATTAGGCGGCACATCAGTCCCCGTATATGGGAGTACCCCCGGGATCGAGCTATACATGTAAAACAAGCCACCAAATAGACAGACGATCGACCTAAGGCTCTACTACCGAGCCAATCAAGCTATGAAACAAGCTACCAAATAGACAGACCTAGGGCTCTGCTGCCGAGCCAATCAAGCTATAAGGTATCAGTATGTATTGCCGTACACTTTACGTTTGAGGGTTCTACATCGTACGATCGATAAAGTAAACGCTAAATTATTCTTCAACTAAAAACTCAAACCATTTGTTTCAATAATTCTGCTAATTTTTTAGGAAGCGATAAATCTTGGAAAAACTCTCAGAGAATGGTCAACCTTCCTGATGTAATGTCGTACACTAGATTTAATGTCATACACCTGGGTTCACAGGATCCTCGCTCGCTTTCTACGAAGTTTTGAAGCCTAATCTGCTTTCCCAAACAAACATAAATTCATTTCTTCTTGATTAAAGCAAACTAAAATGTATTATGATACATAAGAGGGAGACCGGCTTGTCTTCAAGCGAGAGCGCGTGGATTTACTTGCGATTTAAACGAAGCGCGGCTTGTTTACAAGACTTTGTATGGATTTACGATCGCTGTACGGCAATACATCGGCCCGATTATCGGATAAAACACTACTGTGGGTCAGCGGAAACTGACTGAATGAGGCCGATTTGACTTTTGGGACACAAGATGGCGTCGAAGTTTACGGAGGATCAATTTTCGAAGCAATCGGAGTTTGTTTTCTATTTTTTAAGAATTTTTTCCCCGCACGCACGGAAATTTCAACGTCTATTTCACGCGCCATCTTCCGCGGCTAGTAGGAGAAAAGTTTTTCTTTCTCCTTTTCTTTTAGGAGAAATAAAAAGGACTCGTTCGACAGAATCTTTGCGATGTGTACACTCTGTTGATAACTGAAAATCATGTTGTTTTCCTTTATGCAGGCATGGGAAACGACTTTTTCTCGGCTGTACGACAATATATACTGTACGACAATATATCTTACGATTACCTTAAAACAAGCCACCAAATAGACAGACATTTGTCAAGGATTCCACTACCGAGTACCGAGCAAACGAGCCAGCAAAAACACTGCATACATGAATACATACTCCTTGAAAAGTAGCCCTACATTTGTGTAGTTGCTCCAAAATGAAGCATTTGACTAATCGTATTTCTTACCTTCACAGAGGAAAGCTCTATGCTTCAAGACTTCACGGACGGACACGGACTCACAACCCATTTAGGCGCCATGTTGAAACACGTGGGCTCACCAACGGGATAGCATTCTATGTAAGACCACATATAATGTCCCGAAAGAAGGAAAATAGGTCCGCAATGCGTACGGACGTCTTGATCGCGTTTTCGTTTGAACCAAAAAACACATTCTTGCTGATTGTCACTTGAACAAAGTTTGAAATTTGCTGTCGTGAAACAAGGCCTGAGGAATATCTTGAGTTGTAGCCGCTATCCCAATCCAAAACTCACATAGTCTTGACATTGTTGCAAATCCTTGCTGCCATGTTTGTTACCAACAAATCGAGAGAGTCAGTATGCAAAGGCGGATGAATTCAACAAACATTGCACGCAGTGTTTGAACAGCGTAAGAGATGTTAAATCAAAGCTTAAAGGTATATTACCGTAAAGTTACGAAAGTAGCTACCCCCGAAAGTAGCGAGCCGGCCCGAGAGTAACGTCAAAATGTGTGGCTGCTAATAAATCTCGAAAGTAGCGGGGCCCCGAAAGTAGCGAGCCGGTTTATTTTAATGATACATACCGTATATATATACAGTCGAAGCTCTCGTAAGCGACCACCTCGGGAATTAGAAAAAGTGGTCGTTAACTAGAGCTGGTCGCTTACGAGAGCTTTTAATTACAGAGTTTGAGTGACAATTCAGTCAAACGGAGTTTCACAATGGTAGTCGTAACTAGAGCTTGGTCGCTTACGAGAGCGCGCGGTCGCAACGACTGGAGAGCTTTGACTGTATTTTCCAATCAATAGTCAAATGTACATGTCATGTTCATGTTGCGCGGTGTAAAAACAAAACCCGTATAAGGTTCATGGATTAACAGCAACGTATCAACAGGAAACGTTTCTTCAAATTAAAATTGAAAACTCAATATATAATCGATTAACACAGAACGTATTTAGGAGCGTTTTTTCAAATTTAGATTGAAAATATATCGCACTTATTCAAACCGGTTAGAAACTAGTTTTCCTGCTTTGAGTCTGAATCAGGGAATAATTTGATTTCCCATGATACATACAACAACAACAACAACAACAACAACAACAACAACAAGCTTTATTAAGTCTTGGGTTAAAATACATAGATTTTCACCCCCCGCAAATTAGCAGGGCTATTCGAGGCGGGAGGTGAAGAAAAACAAATTATAATAAGGATAGCTGACAGTAGTGTTTTAGTAAGTAAATAACAATAAGAAAATTTCGGTATATAAATGGCGTAGAACAAAGAAATTAAACAGTAGTAAATTTGGTTTCTGTATAAAGTAGAGAAGAGAAAGGAAAACTAACTAACAAAACAAACTAACAAAACAAAACAAAACAAAACAAAACTAAACTAAACAAACAAAATTAAGAAAGAGATTTAAGGCTATCTATGAGGGAATTGACTTCAACACAGTGGTCCTGAGCTGAGAGTATATCAAACATATGGCTGCGAATTGTTTTTCGGAAAATTGACTTAGGTTTGTCTCTGAGGGTAGGTCGGTTGATTCACCCATGTCTTTTATTTCGGAAAAGATTTATTTAACGGTTTTTGTTCCCCGAAAGTAACAACTCCCCGAAAGTAACGACCTCCAGAAAGAAGCAAGCCCCAAAGGCTGCGAATTCCGAAAGTAACTGAACGAGGGTCGTTACTTTCGGAACTTTACGGTAATGAGTGCTCGTTTTTTAAACGCTCTGTTTTTACCGAAAACGCATCAAAAGCTCCGCGTCCACACTATCGTTTTCACAGCGTTTTCCCCGTCCACACTAAAACGTTCGAATACGCTCAAAAACGCTACCCGGCAGTCATCTCTGTATGCAACAAATAGAGTTCACGTTATGTGAATGACGTCACCGTTTTCGAAAGCCTCCGTTTTCGCCGTCCACACGAATACGATAGGGCTCCGTTTTAAAATGTCTCCACTCTGGATGGCATTTTCAAATGTACGCGTTTTCGATCGCTGTGAGTGTGGATGATAGGCGAAAAACGCATCCGAAAAGTATGGACGGGAGACAGTGTTTCATCGGGATATCCAAACACCGAGAAGAGAGTTGAAAATACGACGCGCAGCGGAGTATTTCTGACGAAATTTGAGATGTTTTGTAGTGTGATGAAACACTGTCTCGAGTGATTGATATATATTTACTCAATCGAAACTAAATCTAAGTTTAAACGGAGAAATATAATCGTAAAAATCTATGCTAATTATCCTGCGAAATCGCGCGGAATATCGCCTGATACTTAGCCGACGAGGCCGTAGGCCGAGTTGGCTAAAATCAGGCGATATTCCGCAAGATTGAGCAGAATAATAAGACCGAATATCCAAACCTCCGACACGGTTATGATTTAGATCCTTTGTTTTAACTTGATGGACTATTAATGAGTTTGAGAAAGTCGTGTTCCAATCCCAGGTGCATGTGAAAGAGCTACAAGACTGTATGTCCAGGATTGACCGCAAATGAGATGCAAATTAAATGAGATGCACTCTCCTCATGATTATGATTTCACCAAAACACACATAATTTGTCAAATATGAAGTAATATGAAAATGACAAATAACCCAGTCATATATGAAGTATTTAAAAAAACAATACCTGCGTTCAATCCTGGACATAAGTGACACGACTCAGCAGTGCGGCGATGAACTCTGGTTTCTGTAGCAGTATTGCTACCACCCAGCATTTTTGTCAGGTTTCTTTCCCCAAGAATTTATTTCATTTGTGGATAGAGGCACTGTACGAGTAAAGTATCTTGGCACGATGACTCCGGCCAGCGCTCGAACTTGGACCACTCGATCCGGAGTCCAGCGCATTGACCATTAGGCCACCGCGACTCACCGGAGCAATGAAGTTCTAAAATTAACTGTATTCAGTCAACATGCTCTACAGCTCACTTTGGGATCGAGAGTGGCCGCGCGAAAGTTAATTTGTGGGATTATTTAGGGGGTCTAGGGGGACGCGGGTCTAAATGCACGCGCAGATGGCGAACTTTATTGCGCGACCAAGGAGGAAAGAATCGTAAACAAGTAGTTAAAATGTACAACAATAATACTACAGGCAGCTGAGAGAGATATTATTCTGTGAGTGACACAAGCTACTCGGAAAAAATTCCGAGTTCCCCCAACAGGAGTTCCCCCAACAGGAGTTCCCCCAACAGGAGTTCCCCCAACAGGAGTTCCCCCAACAGGAGTTCCCCCAACAGGAGTTCCCCCAACAGGACTACAGGCAGCTGTTTATAAAGGAAGAAAATACTATATTCTAGGCATCTGTAATCTTTCCGTATTAGGTTTTTTCCTTCAGGGAAAATAACACTGCAATCAATGACAGAATCTTTGTTATTAAAGATGTGGTTATCGTTCATCGTGGTTCATAGATGTAGATGAACGTTTAATCGTTCAGTCTCACGATGGAGTCACTTTGAGATGTGCGACTTGCAGATTCTTTATTTAACAAATAAAGAAGCCAAAACCATGTATTATACTGTCATAAAACACGACGGGAATTTGAGAACACGAGAGAAATTTAGAAAACACGAGCCGCAGACGAGTGTTTTCTATATTTCTCAACTGAGTGTTCTCAGATTCCCGGAGTTTGTATGACAGTATAATACATGGTTTTGGCTTCTTTAATTATGTGCTTTAAAATATAGATTTACCCGCGCGAAACGATAAGCGAGGCCTCCCCCGCAAGATTTTAAAATTTCAGGCTCTGAAAAGTGCATCTTGGTGGTGCATTTTGATGGTTTTGCTATGGATAATGGTGAAAGCTCTTTTATTATTTCTCGTTAGTTTTTACATTTGCCGAATTGCTCTGTGATAGTTATCTGTATCATCAGTGATTACTCGACTTAACTCAATTAAACTTTACGGTGACCAAATTAAATTCACAAAACATAAGTTCATCTTTTTGGTGATAAATACTGCAATTCAAGAGCTCAATGGTACGTCAAAATAAAGTACACACAAGCTATCTGGTTCAAATTTCATTGTTAAACAATTAACCAGTGAATAGTCGTATGCGATCCTTCAGTTGTTATAATTTCAGTTTCAAACCATTTAATTAAACAAATGAGTAAACCTCAGGTCTGATAGGGGGGGGGGGGGGGGGGGGTCTGGACCCCCCGACCATCCCCTGGATCCGCCCACTGGCTGTGAACCTGAGGTAAAAAGTACTTTATATGGTGTATTAATCCTCCAAAATGTTTTTGTGGCCTATCATTGATCAAAATCAAGAGAGGATGATATAAGAAAAATATTTGAGTGCCCCCTTATGTATTGTTTTGAAATCTATTTATAGTTTCGTGTCATGCTGTGAAAGTTATTTTTATTTCCTTCATCACGTTCCTCGAACTGACCAATCAGGTAGCGTTCTTAAAATAGCTCGGCTATGGACTGAAAATTAAAAATAGATGAAAAAATTATCATTGGAAGAGAAGCTAAGAGACCCATGTATGGAGGAATGCTTCTCTTAGATCATCCTCTGTTGCATGAGATTCAGAGTGACGTGGGGGTTTTTGCTTTCAGAGAACAGACGTGCTAAGCGAACTGGAAAGATCTAAACGATCTAGAAACAACGCAAACACTAGAAACAACGGGAAATCAGCAAAACTCCCCAAGGTCAAACTTGAATTCGCGCGCCGAAGTTTTTATTTTTTAGGTGCATCGATTTTTAATTCGCTGCTTTTAAGTTTGAGAAACATTAATTCTAGGGTATTATTTAGGAAAGCGTTGGACGATTTTTATTTGTAAGGTTTTTATTGTAGTTTTTTAAAATTTTAAAATTTTGTAACTTATGTATATATGTATTTTAAATTTGTATTTATTAATAGTTAGCAGGACCCCGTTGATAACAGTGCTGTTGTACTGAAGGGTCATCCTGCATAAATATTCGATTATTATTATTATTATTATTATTACAAGTGGAACCGGAATAAAAGCAATATATAATTTAATTGTCATAATGGAAAAATGGTAAATATGATACCACCTACTGCCCTTAATTTTAGTTTTAGTGGGGTTTAGAAATTGCGAAAATTGTGCAAATTTATTAGTAAAATATCAGCCCTCAGTCGGCCCTCAGTCTTTTCTGTATGGACCTTGTTGCACTCTATCTGTACTGTCAAGCTTGGTTAATAATAAGACATATGTATTATCAGATACGAAACCAATTGACAGTGTTATTTGTATAGCACAAACCAACAAAAAGAAATGCACCCTCAGACAACAACCCTGAGTTTAAATTGTGTATATCAAAAACCCCAGTAATGCAATTTGTAAAATTCATAGTCAGAGCAATATGTAAATAGCTCAGAATAGTGGATTCAAAAGCCTCATATGAAGGTAAATGAGAGCTTACATGTAGTTTATATCAATGAACCAATGGTTTACATGAAGCGACTCGGCAACTTACATGTGTCTATCAGTATCAGTGAATATGAATTATGGTGATGTCAAAAATTCCTGCAACAAAAAATATACTAAAGAACACCAGTGAAAGTCACTCAAATGTTAAACTCTGAAAATATGGTAGCAGTATTAGAAGGAACAGAAACCCAACACTGTTTTAAAAATTATCATGTTGTGACTATAATTTATTTTTTACATTACAAATTTTTTGTTTTCCTTTCTCTTGAATTTAATGTCATTAGTTAGTACTGTCGTTAAGTACCATGCTCTAAAACAAAATAAAGACAAAAGGAAATAAATATCAAACAAAAATAAATTTAAACCAAAATTGTACATGATTTGAAACATAAATTTGGAATGGTCTGAATTTTAACAGGCCATGAATTGACATAAGAGTGACAGACTGGTGTGAATCAGACCAAAAGTATATGCATTTTCCAACAAAGGCTTGACTTTTCATACCATGCTCGATTACACATGCAAGATGTACATGTATATTTATTAAAGGGGCAAAATACACTAACAGCATGTGCTAACATTTAACATTTTAAACATTCAATATTAAAATCACACTGTTTAGGATCAGATTCAATGAAATCTAAATACAGCAGACAACCACCACATTTCAAAATCTTTCTTCAAATATTTATTTGGTCCTTTTTTTTCTGGCCACAATTTTTTTAGTGTCATGATTAACTGCAACACCATCAATCAAGTGTCACCCTCTGAATTAGTAAAAGAAACAATTTTATATATTATATAGATTATAAATTATTTCAAACCAATATCAATTTAATTTATTCTCCTGACATCACAAGTGCTGCCTGATATTACAATGGTTTTGAAGTACAAATCTGAAGAGAAAACAAAGCAGAGAATGTAATTAACCATCAGGTCAGCTGGATCGAGGAGAGAGGGCTTAAGTGGTAGACCAGTATACTGGTACCCAGTATTAACCCACCTCAGAAGAGAACATATAATTAATTATTATGCTCTAGATCAAGGATAATTAATGAAAGGGATTTTCAACTTTTAAATAGATATCTATTTACATACACCTAAAAAGGTTTGAGATGCAACTCCCTTCCCCCATTTCCCCCAAAAGAAGCCCACCAAAAAAAAACCTTTTGAACAAATAACAGATATTTAGCCCACGTACAGCTTATATAATATATAATAACTTTACAGTACACTCCCCTAAATGATGAATATAGTTCTGAAAACTGCAAAGTGAATTTTATGGGTGTATGTAAAACCAAAAAGACTCCCGAAACACCCCAGAACACTCCGAAAACACCCAAAAATTACAAATACGAAGAAAATTAAAAATATGTAAAAAGGAAATGAAAATAAATAAGATATTATATGGCTGAAGTGGTCCAAAAGGGGAAATGAAACATTGTCAGTAGTCTGAAATTTGCATTTAGTATATTTTTGGTGGCCGAAGATGCGGTGGCCTAATGGAGTAATGGTTAGCATGCTGGACTCAGGACTGAGTGGTCTGGGTTTGAGCCCTGGCTGGGGTCAATGTGTTGTGTTCTTGGGAAAGATACTTTACTCTCAGTGCCTCTCTCCACCCAGGAGTGTAAATGAGTACCGGCGACAAAATGCTCCAGGGTGGACTAACTTGCGATGGACTATCATCCCAACCAAGGGGGTTATAGTTGCTTCATGCTACAGAAACTGGGATTAAGGCTCCGGCTCCGGCAGTTGTGGGCCACTACGCTCATGAAGACTTTACCTTTTTATATGTTTGGTGTTCCTGGGTGTTCCGGGGGTGTTGACCAGGGTCACTGTTCTTGGTTTAACATACACCCAAATTTTAATCAATACTGTTAATGAGATAATAAAATTGCATGCGTTTAAACACGGAGCGAGCCTATCAGTCGAGGCTGTGGAGTTCAGCCTGCCAATCACAATGGTCTCATTTGATTGGTTAATTCACCCAGGTATAATTATGTGCAATTATTCAGTATTGTCCAAGTTGTTTGCACAATCACAAAGCTTGTAATTCTGAATAATTTTGCAAATCCCGTCAAAGTCATCTTCACGAGACTCGTTCAAGTTCTCGACAAACTCAGATAAATGGAAACAGGTGGCTCTTTGATCGCAGGTTTGAGCTTTGCAGCATTTTAGCTAGCCGCAAAATTTGGACTGTACTGTACATGTCGAAATGGGCGAAGGGAATTCATTGTTTGCATTCAGTTCCTCCAAACAGTGAATAGATATATTTGTTTTGCGCTCAATATTTATTATTATAGCTTGTTGTGTTTGACATAAATCAATTAGTTGTTTGGATAAACCAACCCCAACTTTTCTCGACCGTTGTTGTGCGACGTTTCAGCTTTCCCCACATGCCATTAATGATAAAAATAGCCAACAAAGTGCTTCAGACGGGGCGTGTCCTTTCCTTTTATAGGGTCGCTCCGTGTTTAAAAG